CGCCCCCGCCTCCTACCGCAGGGAATCTGGCTGCAGGTGCACGGCTTCAAGGAGTCCCCGATCAACCAGAAGGTCGCCGAGCTGCTGCTACAGGACGCCGAAGGCGCCGACGACGACGGCGAGGCCGAAGCGCGAGCGGGCGCGGAGCTTGCTGATGTTCAGGCCCAGCGAGCAGAAGCTCACGCGGCAGAGCTCGGGGCCGCACGCCGCGCGCCCCTCGGGGTTCACCATGACGAACGCGGCCTACCTCACCCTCACGCTGTCGCAGGGCCAGACGTTGCGCAAGGGCGTCGCCATCGACTGCGCGAGAGACGGGGACGCTGGCCGCACGGGCATGTCGGGCGACAAGCGGTGGCTGCGTCTCTACGTCATGTTCTCCCGCGCCACGTGCATGCGGAGCATGCTGATCCTGCGGCCGCCGCCACGAGAGTTCATGGAGCGTGGGCCGCCGACGCCCTCGCGGAAGGCGCTCCTGGAGTTCGACGTCAGAGCAGAGAGCTCCAGGGCAGAGGCGGAGCAGCTCGCGGCAGAGCTGGACCTCGTGCTGCCCCCGCCTGAGCGCGGCGGCGCCCCGCTCGAAGCCTGCAGGGTCTCTCGCGCCAGCGGCTCGCGGGATTGCCCCGACGGCCTGACCCGCTGGGTTGCCCCAGCGGCTGCGCGACGCGGATGCGCCCGCGCTGGCCGAAGCGGCGACGGCGCCGAGGAAATTCGGCACGCGCGCTCTTGCCAGAAGGAAAGAGATAACGCGAGGAGAGCGCGCGGAGGAGGAGGAGGAGAAGGGGGGAAGGGCGAGAAGGGGAGGAACGCAAGGAGGAGAGCGGGGAGGAGGGAAAGGCGGAGGAGGAGGAGGAAGAGGAGGAGGAAGAAGAACAGGAACACACTTGCAGCGAGTAGGACGAGAAGGAAAAGGAGGAGGAGGAGGAGGAGGGGGGAGGAGGAGAACGCAGAGGGCGGAAAGGAAGGCCTCCGCCAGTTGCAGAAGAAAAGGGCGAAGGGCAAGCAATATAGGTTCTCGCGCGGGGTCCTACCATCGGAGTAATTTTCTCGGCGTCACCCCCCCTCCCCCGCGCACGAGACCCGCGCAGGAGAACGCACCTTCCCCTCTTCTCTAATCGCACACTTCTTCACTCGATCGCTCACACACATCATCATTCACACGCAGTCACTCAGTCACCCACTCACGCACTCACTCACACACTCATCATCACGCACCCACGCACCCATCCATTCACCCACCTACCCGCCCACTCACTCACTCACAATCATAATCACCATCATCATCATCATCATCATCATCATCATCATCATCATCATCGTCATCAGCATTGCCTTCATCATCATCACAACTATCATCATCATCATCATCGTCATCACCATTCGCATGTTCATTCATTCAGTCACTGACCCACTCATTCGTCCCAGGCGGGCGCCTCGTCTGAGTGGACAGAGGAAGTCTCAGGCGAGAGCCCCCTTCCTATGGGGCCCGCGGATCATGTTATTAACCCGCGCGGGCCATCGGAACCTTGCAACTGTCATCACTCACAGTTGGGCTTTTCAGGTTTGAATATGAAGGAAATATGAGGCGGGAGCCTCGTCTGTGAGTGAACTGCGAGGAAGTCTCAGGCGGGCGGGAACCCCCTCCTTATGGGGCCCGCACCTCCTGTTTGCAACCAGAGCGGGCCATTGGAAACTTGTAAGTGTCGCCACGTTTGGGTTCCAGGAGTTTGATTATGGAGGAAGTATGAGGCAGGAGCCTTGTCGGTGACTGAATTGTGAGGAAGTCTCAGGCGGGAGCCTCCTTCCTATGGGGCCCGCAGCTCACGTTTGCAATCCGAGCGGGTCATCGGAAACGTGTAACGGTCGACACGTTTGGGCTCCTCAGGCTTGAATTTGGAGGATGTGTCAGGCAGGAACCCCGTTAATGAGTTAAGTGTAAAGAAGTCTCAGGCGGTAGCCTCCTTCCAACGGGCCAGCAGCTCATGTTTGTAATCAGAGCGGGCCATCGAAAACTTGTACTTGTCGCCATTCTGGGGCTCCTGACGCTTGAAGTATCAGGCGGGAGCCTCGAACGTGATTGAATTGCGAAGAATTCTCAGGCGGAACCCCCCTCCCTATGGGGCTCGCAGCTCATGTGTATAATCCGAGCGGGTCAACGGAAACCTCTTAACTATCGTCACTGTTGAGCCCCTTGAGGCCTGAATATGGAGGACGTATGAGACGGGGGCTTCGTTTGTGAGTGAATTGCGAGGACGCCTCAGGCGAGAGCCCCCTCCCTATGGGGCCCGCGGATCATGTTATTAGTCCGCGCGGGCCATCGGAACCTTGCAACTGTCATCACACTTGGGCTTCTGAGGCTTGAATACGGAGGAAATATGAGGCGGGAGCCTCGTCTGTGAGTGATTCGCGAGGAGGTCTCAGGCGGGCGGGAGCCCCCTTCCCTATGGGGCCTGCAATCACGTTTGCAATCCGAGCGGGTCATCGGAGACATGTAACTGGCGACACGTTTGGGCTCCCCTGGCTTGAACATGGAGGAACTATCCGGCAGCATCGTCGTCTGTGAATGAATTGCAAGGGAGTCATGGTGGGGGCCGCCCTGGGAGCTCTTTGGCCTCTGGCCTCATGCGTTGGGAGCCGCCCGGGGCCGACGGCCTGGTCCGCGGGGTTGTCCCAACGGCTGCGCGACGCGGATGCACCCGTGCTGGCCGAGGCGGCGACGTTGCCGAGGAAAATCGGCATGCGCGCTCGTGCCAGTAGGAAAGAGAGAACGCGAGGAAAGCGGGCGGGGGGGCGGAGGAGGAGGAGGAGGAGGAGAAGGAGGAAAAAGGCGAGGAGGAGGAGGAGAAACGTGAGGAGAAGACGGAGGAGGAGGAAAAGGCGGAGGAGGAGGAAGAGGAGGAGGAAGAAGAAGAGGATCACACCTGCAACGAGTAGGACAAGGAGGAGGAGGAGGACGAGGAGGACGAGGAGGACGCAGAGGGCGGAAGGAAGGCCTCCGCCAGTTGCAGAAGAAACTGGCAAGGGGCAAGCTAAATAGGTTCTCATGTGGGGCCCTACCGTCGGAGTAATGTTGATTGTTTGTCGACATGTTTCTAATACTTCGCCCAAAATCCGCCTGTAGGAGGACATACCCGACCTAAGCCCAGCCGCGGGCGGTCCCACCCCGAGCCCTTCGGCAGCGCTTGAAACCGGTCAGCTGCTGCCCAGAGGGCATCGCCTGGCCATTCTTTGCCGAGGTTTGACGCCCGCAGTTGGACGAGGGCACGCGCAGGTCGTACGCCAGCAAGCATCCTGTGCCAGTTGTTTGAGAGGTGGCAGGTGGCAGGAACCATTCGTTGGGTATAGAGTTATGATTTTCCAACCTACTCTTGACCGCCAGAAAGAATTTCGAGAAAGTACCGAAGCTTGAGGGTTTTTTCGTGTCGGGCCCTGGGAGGCGACACTCGTTCAACGTTGTTACGATACTCTTCTGGGTGCTCGAAATCATGTCTGGGATGTGGTCCTTAAGTACGATGGGAGCAACGTAACTATAGAGGCCAAGAGCCCCTCCTCTGCAGGGACTGAGTGGGTCCCTCCAGAGATGTGCCGTACTGGGATCGTCTCGGAGCAGTTCTCGGCCGTTTCAGGTCCGTTTTGGGGGCTCTCGGGGTGTCCCGGACCACGCTGAGGCCGCCGGGGAGAGACCCAGGCGCTGTATTGAGGCATTCTGGGAGCAATTCCCGGCGACGACTGATGGCACGCACAAAAAAAGGCATTGGAAATCATGTTACAACCCAAGGGCCTGTGGATTCACCGTGCCTTCTTGGGAACGCGTTTGGAGCTTTCTCGCGGGGTCGAGGCCGTCTTGGAAGGACTTGTGGCCGCTTGTGGGAAGACCCTGGAGGACCCCGAACTGAAGTCCAGCTAGCCCGCGTTTGCCCGGTTCGGCCGTTCCCATGCACCCCGTCAGAACTAGAGTTTGGGGGGCACAGGGGAGGGGTCAGGGTAAGGGACAGGCACCACAGGACAGTAACATCCACGAGATTTGTTTCTGTCAGCGTCAGTTGTACCCTGCATGCTGCGAAAACCCATTACGAATCGCGGAGGGCACCGACAGCAGCGCATGCAGCTTGAAGTGGCCCGTTGAAAGAACAGCCGCCAATATTTTGTGGTTAAGGATCGCCCGATTGCAGTTATACCTATACGGTCACCTTCCGGTGATAAGGGGATTGGGGGTGGAGGAAAAGAACCAACTGCCGGCAAATGCGATGGGTGTGATGATGACGATATTGGTGACGCGCCCTCGAGTTAGCGACCACGCGTGATGACGATGTTGCGCTGCGATATAATGTCACCATCTTCCCCATGTTCGATCTCACTCGATCGATCCTTCGATGGACCTCACAGGATCGATCGCACTCGATCGGTCTCACTATGGATATCACGTTCGATCTCACCGTAGATATCACTATAGATCTCGCTTTCGATCTCACTATCGATCTCACGATCGATCTCACAACCGATTCCTCTATCGATCCCCTTATCGATTCCCCTCATCGATCTCACAACCAATGTCACAATCAATCTCACCGACAATCTCACTGTTGATCTCACTATCCATCCCATTCTAGCGATCTCATTGTCGATCTCACGATCGACTTCACTATCGATACCAAGGTGGAGCACACCCGGCCACCGCCCGCCCACCGCCGACGGAACACCGACGGGACACCAACGGGACACCACAGGACACCATTGCGGGACACCCCTGGCCACCGCGCGCCCACCGTGGGCGGAGGGGCGGTCCACTGCATCCGAATTGCCCTAGCGACGGCGGGGTCAGTCCTCCCGCGCGCCTACGCAGCTTCGCCTCGCCCGTACGCACGACACGAACACGAAACCGAAACCGATTTCCCGGCGGGGTCTCTCCGTTTCAGTGCGATCTCACCCCCCAACCTCCGATACCCCCTCTCCGCCCCAAGCGGCAGCCCTTGTGAGTTAGACTGGATGAACGGGAAGCGGAGGTCTCTCCACGAGTTCTGTGCGTGAAGGCTCCGCCGGATGACGATGATCCTTTCTTCGTTCATGGCATCTACAACATTTGGCGAGCATTGTTATCGTTTAGGTAAGTATGTCTCACACTCTCGGTGATGCGATTTTTGATTTCTGCGCTTCAGAGGGAGGATCCAGTGCAGATCCGTAGAAGCGAGCGAAGAAGTTTCATGCGAACCGTTACCGTTGCAATGCATGTTGGTCTGGATCACAAGTTACTTGTCGCAACATTGTCACTTGGCCAATCGGCAATTGACAGTCAAAGGTGTTACCAGTCCATGTGTTGCCTGCTATTAGCAACCAACTGGTCTTTCGGGTTAGTGCTCAGGAAAAGCACGCGCAGCATTGTAGCAAAATAGCGGCGCCTCTTTCTCGGCGCGAGCCCGCTGAAGTTCGAGGGGGGAGCTGAACATAGGCAATATGGACATTCCCGGTGGAAGCTTAAATGGAATATGGTGGTGTCCAGCTTTCAAGATGTGTGCATACTTGTTTGCGTAGCCATTTTGGCTCAAGCGGCTTGGCTCAAGACTTTGCCGAGGGTTTTCCAGAACCACTCCAATCCACGAGCATTGAATCTCTTTTGTTGCATGGTTTTCAAGAAGGCGTCCTTCGGCGTCGTCGTGGGCCCCCTCGTCGTGATCCTTGGCGTGCCGCACGCAGCCGCTCTTGTGCTATCCACGGCCCCTTCCGAGCCGTGGTGGCAGTCGGAGCTGAATGACCTGCTGCAGGCCGCATGGGGCGTGGGTCCTGGTGACCAGATGACGCAGGGCGCCCAGGCCTGGCACCCCGAGCCCGGCACGGGCAACGGGGTGCAGGTCGCCTCTGTCGACGACGCAACGGATCCGTGGATCGTCTCCGCTGGCCGCGACGGGTCGACTTCACGGTCAACCTGCGGTGCGAAAGCAGCCAGCTGGGTCGCCATGCGGCGTGCCACCGCATCACACACTGCTTTCTGACCATGTACGGTATGATCCGGCTTGCCCACATGGCCGCGAGCAGTCGGCCCGACGCCCATATCTGCGCGCTCACGTGGACGGACTCGAACGGCATGGACCTGCGCAGTTTCCTGGGGGACGTGGTCGGCATCAAGTGGCATTCCCTCGTCGACGAGAGGGACAGCTGTGCGAGCGGGCTGCGGTACGTACTATGCCGGCTACCGGGCTTCCCTCATGGGCGCGCAGCAGTCTTACCTGGATCAGTTTGGACTGAACCAGAACATGTACCGTTCCTATTCCATCAACCTCGACGTGAACTTGAACTGGATGCATTGCGACTTCTCCGCATTTCTTGAAAAGGACGGTATTTTTTCGCCGCAGTTCGTCATAACCCATCGCAGGCAAGTTCCTGGGGATCAATCGAGCACGCATTTATGTCACGACACCGATTTGGAGAAGTTCAAGGACTCGATGAGTGGTACGAAATTGGGCATCGTAGATATGTCATTGAAAGTGTACGACGGAAACGAAAGCGTCGCAGATACCGTGAAGATGTTATCCCAGGCCGCGGAGATCATCGGCTACCACGGCGAAGCGATGGCCAACACTGTTTTCGGCCCGAAGGTCTCGTTCAAAGATTTGCAAAGTCAAGCGCCCTGGCGCGTCAACGATGACGTGGCCAACGCCCTCGACGGCGTCCGGCGGTCGAAGCTGACCGCTCAGGGCCCCACGGGCACGCGACCAGAGCACCTCAAGGAACTCTTCTCCGTCCAGCGCCGCCGCGACGCCGCCAGCCTGCGTAGCGCGCTGAACCGCCTCCACGGTGCCATGCGCGACTGCGCCCTCCACGCGCCCATGTGATGGATCGTCCGGACCCGCCTCGTGCGGCAGAAATAGCGCAACGGCAAACCACGCCCCATTAAAATGGAAGAAGTCCTCTGCAGCTCCTTCGCCAAACGCTACACCAAGAAACACTTGCACAAGCTGCGGGCGGTATTCCGGCAGGCTCACCAGTGGGGTGTCGGCGTCCCTGGCGCTTGTGAGGCGATGGCGCATTGGCGCGGCACCGTGGAGGAGCTGGCTGTCGACGGAACCATCCCCGCTCTGGTCGCCCTCGATGTCGATCTGGTTAACATGATCGGTCGGCTCGGTGGAGTGGGACCCCATACGCGACGCGATTGACCCGAGCGCTTTTCCGGAGATCGCCGCGTGGATGAATTGGCACCATTGTTAGCCTTCCACCTCCGAGCTGCCTTCTGGCGAACTCTTCGACACCGACCGCGGGGCCGAGCAGGGCCACGGGTTTGGCACCGCCCAGGCTGGCTTCGTACTGACGGCCGCGCGCGCGCCTTCCCTCGCCGCCTCTGCGCCCGCGCCCGCTGGGGCGCCCGCTGCCGCCGACCTGAGCCAGCCTCCCGCGGTCCCTGGCCCGGCGCCCCTTGCCGCCGCCCCGGGCCCGCCCGCCCCGGTTGCCGCGCCAGCCCCGGGAGGCGCTCACGGAGCGGCTGCCCTTGCCGCCGCCAGCCCGCGGGCGTGCGAGGAGTGGCGCGTGCACGACAAGCAGGTATTCGCCCGGCCAGCAGACCTTGACCCCTGGCTCCGGGCACTGAACGCCAGCCCTGCTCGCTTTGGTGGCACCCGCGGCTCCGTCGCCGAGGGCACGGCCAAAAGCTCTCGCCACCTGCTCTGCCCGCCACAGCAGCTCCACCTCCACGACGGCTGGGACACGGAGGAGGAGGAGGAGGAGGAGGAGGAGGAGGAGGAGGAGGAGGAGGAGGGAGGAGGGGGCGTAGGCAGGCAGACGGGGGGAGCGCGTCCGCGAGGCGTGAGACACCCGACCCCGCTGCTTAGGCGCGCGTGCTGGGGTGGGGCGGGCGGGGGCGGGAAGGGGGGGGGGGGCCGCGCCTGCGGGGGCGGGCTGGACAGCGCCCTTAAATCTGCACCCTCGCTGGGCCAGCAAGCCCGGACGTGGGCGGCCGCCCGCCGACGCGGCGCTGCGCCCGCCGCGCTGGCCAGGTGGCGGCGCCGCCGCGCCCCGTCCGAGCATCCCCTCCGCCGGGCAAGGCGGGCCACGAACGTGCGGAGGATGGATGCCGTCAAGGGGTGGGGCCGGCTGTAGGCTGACCGGACGAGCGGCTGGTACAGGTTGTTCTGACGGGCGTGATCGGCCACTTTGCGCTGGTGCATGCTGGTCACGCAGTCCCGGCCAGCATCGCTCGCGTCGGGAGGGGCAATCCCGATGTCGAGCGCGGTGTGCCAGTGCCCCGGCGCTCCTGTGAGCACGTCCGCGAGCCTCAGCCGGGTGCCCGGGACGAGGCTCTGCGCCTCGAGCTCGGCTGCGGGGTGGCAGCCCTTGGCGGCCTCGTACACCTGCCGCGCAAGCGCGTGGTGGCCTTTTGTAGCTTCGACCCTGCTGCAGCAGAGGGCGTGCGAGCCCGCGGAGTCGAGCGGCGCAGTGCCGCAGAGGTTGCAGGGGGCAGGGGGTAGGCTCGCTGGGGCCGGCGGCGCCGAGGCGGAGCTGGAGCGCCTCGACGAAGTCCTCGTGGTCGAAGAGGGGCTTTTTGTGCCAGCTCAGAGCCCAGAGCCACTCGTGGTTGGTGTCGGGGTGGCTGAGGGCCTCCAAGCGACGCCGCGCCGTTTTGTTGCTGGCCTGCACGTGGCGCCCGCGAAGCTCTAGGCGCAACTGCGTGTCGAGGCGGGCCAGGATGGCTCTCGAGGAGGTGGGCGAGGCCGCGAAGGGCAGCAGCCAGGTGCTCGTCGCCCCCGTCCTCGTCGACGGGGGCGATGCCGCTGCCCGTGCGCTGGGGCTGGCCGTTCCGTCTGGAAGCGCCGTGGTTCACCGTCCCTCGCACTGGTCGGCCTCGTTTGAGAGGAAATCCCAAAGCTGCCTTCCGAGAGTCGGAAGAGGGGATCCCCATCGGAGTGACCGCGGTTTCCTCCGTTCGCCAGTCGTGCGCCCCCATGACCGCGGCCGCGGCGCCTGGGCCGGCCAGGGCGAAGTGCTCGGCAATCTCGCGGACGCTCGGGCGGGAGCTCGCGCGGCTGACGAGAAAAACGGCCGTGGACACGCGCTCCGCGGTGCGTGGACCGAGGCCGCTCGGGAGATTTCGGTGGTGGCGTGTTCCCAAGCGTCGTCTGGCAGGTCGCCGCCGACGACGTCTCTGTCGAAGGTGGCGAGCCGGTCATGGCCGAGCCTGTCCCCATTGAGGCGCGGCTGGCAGGGCAGCTTCGACACGTCGGCGCACAAGCGGGTCAGGACGAGCTCGGTGGGGGCGTGGTTGACGGTGAGCAGCGCGAGGCGGGCGGCCCGGGCCTTCTCTGCGACCGCTTTGACCTCGTCGTCCAGCGCCTCTGCGCTGCCAAAGGGGGCGCCCAGGGCGAGCGTGGGGCCCCGTGGGTCCAGGGCGCTGCTCCTCCTCCTCCTCCTCCTCCTCCTCCTCCTCCTCCTCCTCCTTCTCCTCCTCCGCCTCCTCCTCCTCCTCCTCCTCCTCCTCCCTCCTCCTCCTCCTCCGCCTCCTCCTCCTCCTCCTCCTCCTCCTCCTCCTCCTCCTCCTCCTCCTCCTCCTCCTCCTCCTCCTCCCCGTCGCATCCCTCCTCTCTCGGGCTCACGGAGGCCGCGTGCCGACTCGTCGTGTCCTCCGCGAGCCCGCGCAGGCGCGGCCATTCCAGCCTTTTCTGTTCCTTCTCATTCTTCTCCTCCTCCTCCTCCTCCTCCTCCTCCTCCTCCTCCTCCTCCTCCTGTTCCTCCTCCTCCTCCTCCTCCTCCTCCTCCTCCCCCTCACCGCCGCTTTCACATGCTATTTGATTCTCGCCGCGGCCGGAGAGGCTCCAGAGAGCGACAGTTGCGTGCGTCCTGGCGATCTGTCCGGGGCCCAGGGACGCAGAGAGATCCTCCTCTTCCCCCTCCTCTTGCTCCTCCTCCTTTCAGGAGGAAAAGAAACACACAGACACAATTAATCGTCGATTCCCCAGAAAATATGGGAAAATATGGGAAGTGGGGGGGAAGACAGAAACCCAGAAAATATAGGAAAATATGGGACATCTTTTTATTTGTGTGTATTTATTTGTGTGTCCCAGTTTCCCTTCATCCTCCTCCTTCTCCGTCCCTCCTGTCGCAATTGCATTGTCGGTCTGTTGATCGGGCCACGGTTCACTGCATGAGTTTGCCCATTACAGGTCGGCTCGTGCGGTGTCCCTGCTTGCTCTGCGACCTCCAGATTCGCGATGTGGCTGCGTCACCCGGGGTGCAGGTTCCTGCGCTTCCTGTAGCAGGCGCCCGGTGCGTCGGGAGGGGGGCAATTCGTTGCCTCTCACACGCCCTCGTTCTCCCAGGCCGCGGTTCACCTCATGAGTTTGCTTCTTGCAGGGCGGCTTCTGGGCTGCATCCGGTGTGCCGGGCGCTTCTTTCCAGTTCCCGGGCCTGGCGCGCGCCCTCCCCCCTTGACGGCGCGAGGGCGGCCGGGAGCGACGATCGCAGATTCGTCTTCCCTTCGGTCTGGGTCGGGACCGCGGCTCGCAGGCCAGAGGGAGCTCGGGCACCCTCGCCGAAGGGAGGCGTCCAGAGTCGAGCAGAAGTGCCGCCGCCTTCTGGAGACGCTTCCACCCGCGGTGGCACCTTCTAGTAGCAGTTTGGCCTGCCCCGCCCCCTCTCCCTTCCCCTCTTGCCTCGACGCACCCGCCCGGTCATGCGCATTTGCCTCCGAGCCGCCGGGGACCAGTGGTGTCGATTACGTTCGGCATAACGTGGCCAGGATGAACAAGCTGTGCAGTTTCAACGTCTTCGACATCCTATTGACGATCTCTTCGGCGAAAACGGCGTGAACGTCCATGATTACGAGAAAATAAAAGAGAAAGATCATTTCATCAAGGATTTGCGTCGGGTACCGCTCCCAGGTTACCACATTGCACACTTAAAAGTTGCCGTGGGTCATTGTCTGAAGGATTGGGTGGAGGGACTCTGGTAGATTGCAAGCCCACATCGTTGTCTCACGCGCGAAGACTTTTCACCCTTGTCTTCCGCACGGTTCATCAAGCTGCCTGCGGCCGGTCCCGCCACACTGCCAGCACATCACGTCCCGTGCAGATGGCCAGAGGTGACGGCATCAGGCAGTTGATGCTTGGCCGCGGCAAAAGCGAGAGCGCCCGAGGCTGAGCGCCATCGACTGTTGTTGCACGAGCGTCGCGCACGGCTGGTGCGGATAAGGCTCCCCAGGGCAGCGCTGGGTTGCTTGACCAAGGAAACGCAGTTGGCGCGCGAAGGAAAAAGGATGGGTGCATGCTGGCGTCCCTTGAGTATTGCTGCGTTCATGTGCTTGCTTGTTCGAGCTGTTACCGCCTGTGGCGTGCAGACTTCATCATGCCTCTGTTACCATCACAAGTTCTGCTTGCTTCTGATCGTTGACGGGTGGTTTACTGTCAGGCGGCTTGATTGGAAGGTAGAGAATGCATCGGATCGAATACACGGCTTCTTCTGAAACAATTCTAGACGCTTCGCATATCCCCACCAGCTGGCTGCGTTGGTCTCCTCGGGCCTGTCTCAGGCTCCCTGGATGTACCTTTGCACGTTCTCAGGGGTTGTTCAGCAAGCTCCCTGGATTGCATGTCGGCTTCACGGTGCTCATCTGGCTCCCTGGATGCCCTTTGCACGCCCGTTCTGGGGCCCGCAGGTTCCCTGGACTCTACGTAGGCTCTGACGCCTTAGGACGCTGCTGCCTGCCGCCTGACCGCGGCCCCGCGCGCGCCCGCCGCTAGTCGCGGCCGCAGCCCGCCCGCGACTGCCCGCCGCTGGCGCTTCCGCCTGCGGCTGCATATTGGAAGAAGAAGAAGAAGAAAAAAAAAAAAAAAAAAAAAAAAAAAAAATCACTTGGTGTGTCAGCCCTGTGCTCGTGGCCCGGTACCAGGCCCGTGTTGGGTCAACCCGACGCCACCTCACACACTGGTTCGTGGTGACCCGCGCCATTTTGGCTGCGCCGCGGCTCCGCCGTTTCCCGCACTCGTGCGTTCTGCTGCCTCGGGGTCTCTCGGCTACGGCCACCCTGGGAGTTGCAGCCTGCCAACGCGCTCGCCTCCTGGCGTTAATTTTTTGGCCGACGGTCCTTTGGGCCACCCCGGTACTCGCGCTCACGCCGATGTCCGGGGCTTCGCTTTTGCAATTCTCAAATCCACCTTGACCGACGGTTCTTTGGCTGCGGCCACCCTGGTGCCCACGCAGTTGTCCGGGGTTTGGGCTCATGCTTCAATTCTGCGGTTTCCGACCCTGGTCGTCGTTTATCCCGACTTCCTGGTGCTTCCGACGCCCTGCATACTTGCACGCTGGCAGCTCGACTTAGTTCAGTCACCCCTGCCAATCGCCCACCGCTGGGCCGCCGCGTGAGGCTTCGGCTAGCTGCGTTAGACGTGGCCTGCCCCCGCTGCCTTCGCTTAATCCGTCTCTGCGTAGCCCGCCTTGACCTGACTCGCCGCCGGCGCGCTCGCCCGCGGCCGCTGACTAAAAAGTATCCCCACCAGCCCATCCAGAAACGATGTCCAGGCGAGTTGAGGTGATCAGGGAAGTGTGGCAGCAAAGAGGAGAACGGCCGAACCGTGCAAAGGAGTGAGGAGGAGAAGGAGGAGGTGGAGGGATGGATGGATGGATGAGGGAGTGGGAAGAAGGAGGATGAATAGGATGAGGAGGAGGCGGAGGAGGAGGAGGAGGAAGAGAAGGAGTAGGGGCAGGAAGGAGGAACAGGAGGAGGAGGAGGGCAAGCACAAGGCCCAGAGGTCTCTCGGATGCCTCTCGGAGCCTCTTGGGGTATCTCTTGGGCGATTCTTGGTGGCCTCTTGGGACTCTTCTTGGGGGCCTCCTGGGGGCCTCTTGGGGGCCTCTTGGGGCCATCTTGGGGCCATTTTGGGACCTTGGGGCCTCCTGGGCGCTTCTTGGGGCCATCTTGGAGGAGATCTATCAAAGAAGAGCGAGCTTCAATTAGCTTCGCCCCCCCAGGAGGCCAAAATGGGGCCAAAACCCAAGTAAAATCAATGATTTTGGCTTCCTCGCCGAGGCCGTTTTGGACGCTCTGACCGCTCGCGCCCCCCCCCCGTCCAGGTCCACAGGGAGGGGGTAGGGGGAGGGGTCAAGACCCCCCCCCGCCCGCAAGCCGTCTCACTCACTCCCACCCGCCCTCCCAACACATACGTAGCACCCGAGTCTGGCCCGAGCCTCAGCATATTCAGCACTCGTCTTTGGATGGGTAGCTACTGGGGGTCAATCCGCTGCCGCCACCGCCGCCCGCCGCCGCCGCCGCCGCCGCCGCTGCCGCCGCCGCCGCCGCCGCAGCCGCTGCCGCTACCGCCACCGCCGCCGCCGCCGCCACCGCCGCCACCGCCGCCGCCGCCGCCGCCGCAGCCGCCGCAGCCGCCGCCGCCGCCGCCGCCGCCGCAGCCGCCGCCGCCGCCGCTTCCGCCAAGTGTACTCTGCATTGTTGTTTGACAGGGATGGTGGGGGGGGCGCATCGGGTTGGCTGCGCATGTTCCGAATTTGGAGGCAGAGTGTGTTTTGCATTGTTGTTTTAAAAGGGATTGTGGGGGGGTCGTCATGGACCTGGGTTGGCCCCCAGTTGCCTGGGGGAGGGGGTGTTTATGAATAGGGAACAGTGACAAACCCCTCCCCGAAGGGGAAGAAGGAGGGGTGGAAGAGAAAACTCCCTACACCACCGACGCCCAGAGGGCTGGTGAGATGTCCTAGCAAGCTGTGATTTTCTTATACAACAAACTTTGTTTATATGCACGTGCCTTCCTTTCTCTCGCTCACTCACGCACTCACTCGTTCTTTATCTCTCTCTCTCTCTCTCAATCTCTCTGTCTTTCTCTTTCTCCCGCTTTCTTCGCGCCGCGGGCCAGGACCTGTCGAAGACACGCTCCAGGGACCGCCGACCCCACCGCCACCTCACTCCGCAAGAGGTACATACAGGAGAGCAGAAGTTATCTGGCTTTCTCTGCTTCCTCAGTTCTTCCCTCCTCTTCCCTATCTCCCTCCTCCCCAGGGCGCAGTGAACACAGGACATGTGCCCACAAGATCCGTGGGCAGGAGGGAGGGCGACGGCACGCAGCAGGCGCAGCATGACAGCATGCCTGGTGCACGGGTCTTGCAGAAGAAGCTCTCCTCCTCCTCCCCCTCCTCCTCCTCCTCCTCCTGCTCCCCCTCCTGCTCCTACTCCTCCTGCAGCAGCCCTCCGGCTTGCTTGGAGGTTCATTCAGTTAAGGATCACGTACCGTCCCAAGCACGCCAGCTGTTTGAACAGCGTCTCGACCACCGGTGCTCGGGGGCTGGCTTTTTGTGCGGTTGGGCACAAGCTTGCTCTCCCAGGCGCAAGCTGTTCGAGCTCCTCGCTCGTCCACTACAGGCATGTTCCAGCTGCTGCTAGCTCTTACGAACCCCAGTGCACAGGTGGCAGGACCAAGAGGGTCGCTGGCCACCTTGCGAATCGCACAATTGCACAATTGGTGCCGGACGGCCGTAGTGTCAAAGGCGCGTTCCCAATGCCCATTGTTGGCCAATCAAGCTGCCGCATCCACAAAAAGAAAGGATTCGGGCAAGTAGGTGGTGAGCATCCGCGTGGTGCATCGATACGTGGATGTCGTGTCTTGGAAAGTTGGTTCGGCGCTGTTTTCAAGAAGCTTGCGCCATGTCGCCACCCCCCCAGACGAGGAGAGAAGTCTATGGGGCGCCCAGCGAGGAGTCGCAATGTTGGCATTATGGTGTCCAGCGGAATGGCGGCCAGCGCATACATACATGAAACCTCGCTTCCCCGGGTGCCGCCCAGCGAGGGTGGTCTCGGAGGTTGATGGTGATGAGGGTCATGAAGGACAAGCAGGGAAAGGAGAGGACAATCATGAGACAATTGTGGAGGATGTGGAGGAGGAGATGGGGGCATATCCGTAAGTAGAGAAATCTGGCCTGGTTTGTGGAACTGTGTCGTTTTGTCGAGCAGATGGATCGCTCAAGGTGCGTTGACGAGCAAGCCCACCCCTTGAGTGGCTCAATCGTGCTCGGTTTTCCGCGCGTGAGAACAATCTCCCCCGAAGTGTTCGGAGAGAAAGCTGGCATGTGCATCGGGTCGGGCATGCAAGGTGTCCTCGCATGAGTCCGTCGGAGCTGGCGGGGAGGTGGAGAAAGGGCGAGGTGGTCTCGGAGGATGAGGAGGAGGGAGGAGGAAAGGGAGGACGACGACGACGAGAAGGAGGAGGGTGAGACGGAAAAGGAGGAGGACGAGGCCTTTTGGAATTCTTTTGGGTACGTTGCGTGGCGTCTGGGCGGCGTCTCGGAGGCCTCGGGAGCGCCTCTCGGGAGCCTTTGTGGTATCGTGGCGGCCATCTTGGAGAGGAGTGCTCCCAGGGCCCATCAGAGTTTTGGATATTTGGCTGCCTTAGGGGCGCCAGGGGCCGTCTCGCGGCTCTCTTGGGCTGCCTCGGTGTCCTCTTGGGTACCTATGGGGCCTTCTCAGGCTAGGGAGCCTCTTGGGTCGTGTTGGACTTTCGGGATTCATAGCTTGTTTTGTTATTTGGGGATTTTGCATTTTCCGAGAACCCACCTCGGTGGTCCTGAAGGCGTTCGTGCGGCCATGTTGGGTCTTATTCACGCCGCGCGCGCTCGCGCGCGCGCGCGTTGGAGCCATTCTTGCGCCGTCTTTGCGCGCATCGTAAGCATCGCAGGCGCACTTGCAGGCTGCAAGGGCCCAGGAGGAGCGCAGACGAGTTTTGGGGGAGGATCCCGCCCCCCCACCCCCACCCCACCCCTTGAAACGGCATTGTGGACTTGTTGACATGTTGGAAGGGGTGAAGGGGGAGGGGGCCAGCCAATCATATCGTACGCCTTCTCAGCCCTGGCAAGCGGGGGTTGGCGGATTGTTTTTGTGGCAGTTTGCAGCGTCGACAGGTCAAGCCAAAACGCGCGAGGAAGCAGTGAATGCCATACGGGGGACGTCGTGGCTACTGCGCTAAGGAGGAGGAGGAGGAGGAGGAGGAGGAGGAGGAGGAGGAGGGAAAGGAGGAGGAGGAGGAGGAGCAGGTGTAGGAGAAGGAGGAGGAGGAGGAGGAGGCAGCGGCGGAGGAGGAGGAGGCGGAGGAGGAGGTGGAGGAGGCGGCAGAGGCGGAGGCGGAGGCGGAGGCGGAGACGGTGTTGGAGGAGGAGGAGGAGGAGGAGGAGGAGGGGGAGGAGGAGGAGGAGGAAGAGGAGGAGGGGGAGAAGAAGGTGGAAGGAACATGGTGGAAGGATGATTGAAGACAGGGAAGGAAGTGGATGAGCGAGCCACAGAGGGCAGCGCGGTTCCGCGCACCTCCGAGCGTGGGGCTTGAGGAGCCAGAACCCCGTGGCCGAGAGCCCGTTCAAGACGAACTCCACGAGAAGCGCGACGAACGCAGCCCCTTCGCCGCCCGCGAACAGGCGGCCCCAGTCGCACTCTGGCACGAGCGCGACGAGCGCTGCGATTAGCAGCACCACTCAGTCGTCGCCGACGTCGGGCTCATCCTCGACGCGCCCGTCGGCCTGCACGAATTCGTTCGTGGACTCAGCGGACTCGCCGTCCACGAAATCACGATCCAGCCTGGCCCAGCGGCCACGAACACCTCCACGGTGGACTAATCCAAACGCTGCTGGGTGCGCGCACAAAGCCTGCCGAGCGCCGGCTCCACTGCACCCTTGCCCAGCTCCACAGTGAGCCTTTCGCCGCAGGATGCGCACACCTGCCGCACGGTCTCCGCCAGGCCGCCAGCACTGCAGCTTCATGCTCGGCCGGACGGATGGCCTCGCAGAGCACGGCGTCATCGTTCGTGTTCTTCTCCCGCTGGGCATTCGCTTTCATGTTGGTTGTTTCCTTCTTCGTATCTTTCGTATTATTATTAGCATTGGTATTCGCATTGGTCTTAAATGTGTTGGTACACTTAATAGAATTAGTGTTAATAGCAGTAGCAGTAGTAATGTTATGTTAATTAGTATTATCATTCGTAGAATCAGTAGTGATATTAGTATTAACAAGAGTATAGAAATATTGAACGTATCGTTGTTATGGTATCCGCGTTAAATTAGTATGAGCAGTCTTATGCATATTATTATTAGTATTGCTACCATTCTTCGTATCCGCCGTCCTCTTCCTCTTCCTCTTCTTCTCCCTCTTGGGTGCACTTGGTTGACCCTGCGCATGGCGCGTCACCAACCGCCGCGGCAGCATCGCGGTCGGGTTCCCACACCCTGCGTCGCCACCACGGCTCTTGTGCTGCAGCCAGCGCTGCAGCGCACCACGCCCCAGGCAACCTCGCCATCGATATGCAGCACGCCATCCCTCGACAGCGCCCGCTTCGACCTACCGCCGCACATCCCTAGCGATTCGCTTGTCCGTGATCATTGTCCGGAGGATGTCCTTGGCGATTTGCTCGTCCAGGAACATTGTTGTGAGGATGTCCCTGGCGATTTCCTTGGAAAATCCTACATGACAAAACCTATGCGGCCCGCTTCCCGGCGGAGCGGTCTGCGAGCGCTTACGCCGCGGCCCCGCGCGCGCAAGGCG